TGTCTTTTGGGTAGATACCTAGGAGTGGGATTGCTGGGTCGTAGGGAAGCTCCATGTTTAGCAGTTTGAGGAACCTCCAAACAGGAAAACTTGTTCCTTTTATTAAAGTATCTTTAATGGTAATTTGATACATTTCAGTCAGGTAACTCAGAAATATATTATGACTGTGATCAAACCTTTCCTTATTTTACAGTTAATATCTAAGCAGCTGGTTTCCAATTTTGAAAATAAATACTAGTTATACAATTATTGGGGCAAAATAAGATAATTACTTTAAAATATTCTTATTCTGGGATGCATTACTTATTTTGTGTTATTTGTGCTATATACTTTTTAAAATATTTGAGGCAGTCTAGAAATAAAATACAATACAGGAAAAGAGAATATGAAAACAACCGAATACACTACAAGAGAGGAAAGTATATTCCTTACGTGTTGTGTTCTAACATGTTGCTTTCTGTCACACAGAATCTGCTTTCAGTTTCCTGCTTCTAAGGTAAGCAAACGGGGTGATATAATTCTTATGACTTAATTTTTTTTTGGTTTTTTAGTAAAATAAAGTATGGTTGTTTCTTTGAAATCAGTCCTTTTAACTAAATGAAAAAGAAATAAGAAATTTATTATAAAAGATGTGGTATCTCAGGGTCATAGAAGATGTATCAAATAAGCATTTCTTATATTAGTTTAAAAAGTATAATGATTTTTTTAAAAATCCTAAAGGAAAAATGTTATAAATAACTGTAATTTACTACCCCAAGGTAACTTTTTCCAAAAATATGTGTACATATTTTTAAATAGCTACCATTATGAGCTGTACTTTAGATTCAATACTACAGTCACTTAACATGTTACATATATTTTTCCATGTTTTTGTAAAATCCAAACAGTAATTAGTGCCTAAATAGCATTCCGTCTTACAGATGTGCTGTCACGCCTGCACTTTGAGCTGTTTCAACTTCTTAGTACAGTGGCATTTTACTTGAGAGCCTATTAGTACATCAGAAATCTATGATCAAAGTCGCCAACGAAAAGATGGGTGCTTGCTGACTTCGAGTCTGTCATAGAGTATTTCCTTCAGAGTGGAGTTACAATGAGGATTCTTGAACTGAAAATGAGATGAAATATTTGGCTCCCCTTTAAGAGCCAGATTGAAGAGGAGTGCATTTGTATTGACTGTAAATAACATGTCTAGAATATGCATAGTTGATTCTAGTAAGTTAAATATGTGTGACATGACTCCACTTTGAACATCAGACACTTGATGGTGCGTGAAAGATACCCTAGTTGTAACAAGGGAGTGAAAATTCCTCTTGCCTCCTCATACCTGAAGGCTGATAACCTTCACTGTGGGTGGGGAGGAAGCAGGAAGTATTTGTTAAAGACACAAATACCTGTGAAGTTACTATCACCTAACATTATATATAAGGTGCTTTGGAGGTTGTATAAGGTAACTCCAGCACACAGGGTGTATTTTTTAAAGAAACACATTTTCTAAGAAATGTTAACAATTAGAAGTATTCCCAAACTTCTATTAGTTCATTATAAAAATTCTAGTTTAGATCTGATACTGAGCGAAATTTTTCCTTAAGACTGCTCTATAGACTTTAGAAGGGAGAATAGTATGTAACTAAAGGCAACTTCAATCCTTTTTTGAAAAAATAGCTAAGAGTGCGTTATTTCGTCCTTTAGTGCGTGGGTAGGCCATATTGAGCTATCTGCTGTTGCAGATTGATTCTGCTTTGATGCTGGCTAACACATCTCTAAGACCTGTAAAACATACGGATGCAAACATTCACGTAGCAGTTAGACGCGCGTGTATGGTTTGGCGTGTATACGCATGTAGACTGGGCTCCTGGTACTCTAGAGATGACTGGGAGCTTACCTGACTTTTGTAGTATCTATTTATATTCATAGTTTGACTAGATTCCTAGTTTGAGTATAAACATTCGTTTATATGCACATTCTAGTTTGAGTATAAACATTCGTTTATATGCACATTCTCCGTGACTTGGTCTAGCTCCCTCAAGCATTCACCCTAGAACTGTGGCCTTCCAAGAAGAGTGTGCTGGCTCATTTATGCCAACCCATCCCTAACCCATCACAGACACATCCTCCTCAGGGTCCTGAGGGCCGTTATTTTCTGAATGCGATCTTGAAACTCTCGACCTTGCACTCCCACCGGCCCCCCCCAAAAAAAAAAAAGAAAAACCGGACGAGGAGAACAGCTACGAAAGTATCCGTGGCGTGAAATTGACAAGACTTCC